ATATATGTATATATGTCGAAGGCCTAGGAAGTTGTCTCACTAGCAAGCCAATCCCCAATGTCCAGATCGGATGCGGGAACAACTTTAACTTTTACTCTTGCTAGAGTAACAACGATCTCTTTATAATTAGCCCCTTAATCATAATAAATAGCATTTGTATAGCGCATGTCCCCGCTCAACAGCAGGCTCTATGCGTTTTACACTATATTATTACCCCAGCAGACCATAGAACACCCTGAAACCTTCTCAGCTTCCCGGGAAGCATACAGTGCAAGCAGCTGATTAAGTGCTCAAACACTAGCAAACTGACAAGATCTTTCGCTGTCTATAGCCGGGTACCCATTCCCACCTGGGTGAGGTGTGGAAAATTCGTGTAAAGTGCTTTTCCCAAAGGAAAACAACGTCGGGCCCCTGACGGGATTCGAACCCACGACCTTACGGTTGCGAGTCCGAGAGCCTAACCACTAGGCCACCGACGCCCTTGGCCTGGCTCAGACTAAGTCACTTTCGCCCTGTCTGGTAACCACATGTAGCCTTCAGACTTTCTTTGTTTGGCCCATTTCCCAGATACTGTACAGCGCTAAATTAGTTTCTCTCTCAGTTGCTCCTGAGGAAGCCTATGGGGCGAAACGTCGAGACGATTCAATTAAACAATTTTAAAACATTTTATGTCTTGCATTTTTTGTGTGTGCGTAAATCAGGTAAGACTCTCCCTACCTACTCTGCTTTTAAAACAATGATGGCGATGAAGATGATGATGGTGGAGGTGGTGTGGTGATGATGCTGTAGTAATGTTGGAAATGATGTGCAGGTTATTGAAGAAATAGTTGATCTGTCAGTACCTGGTCATTGGCGATTCTAAGAGAAAAATACGTTGTATTTCTGAAGTGAAAAAACTGAAATTAGGATGAATCTATGCCTTGTGGATTCTGTTACATGAGCGTGTACAGTCAATGGCATCAGGTCGTGCTGAGAAGAATTCGCCACATCCGGATAGAGACGGGGAAAAAGGACAAGAAGGCCTGACTATGGATACATTAAGGAGTGGGTGGTCCTGGTTTGAATACCTATCGAGTTGTTCTGAACTTTGGTTGTTTTGAGGAGTTTTTCAGGCTCTCCATCAATTAATTATTAGGCTCAGTCACACGGGAGTAGAAAGTTAAATTCCGAGGTTCCGCCTCTTAACCATATCCGTACGTCGTGGTTTACCATCGTTTCCATACGACGTTGGGAACTCTGCCACCACTTTCAAAGAGGAAATTTACTCGGTAATCCGATCTGTTCGCTTTGCATAGCAGTAGCAGTCTTGTCAAAAATGTTTTTTTTAGAAATACTGAAAGTTTCAAAGAGGTCTTCGCGCTTGAAGTATTCTAAAAAGTGAAGAATACAACCCGGGGGGTACAAAATGAGCCCAGGGCGTACGGGTAGAGTTAAATAATAATTGCAGTATTGAAGGGAGCTTGAAGCGTGTACTGCGACCTGTGGTGTCCAACAACAGTGATGAATGACGTGGCTAACAAGACCAATGTGAGAGTCTGTAAGTGTGTACGAAAAAAGGCTGATATTGAGTTTTGTGTTTTGTGCCTTCGTTTTACTTGTATAAATTGTATGTGTCTTAGGGGTCTCATCACGCCTTTCTTTCTGTATCCTCCTCTTTCATTTTGAGACCCGTCTGTGGTTCCTGTCTTCAGTTACTGCGATCTTCCGTTGTATGATCTAGGGTCCCGATGGGCCACCTTCCATTTTTATACTGCATATTTTGGAATTTACACAACTATACATTGATACGTTTGATTTAAGTAAGAATGTAATTTCTTTACAACAGAGGAACTATTATTCCCTGCCTCGTAAATTTGGAAAGAAGATGAATAGACAGCTGGCATGTACTTTGCCAACATCAGTGGCGGCATTCTTCTGTCTCTGAATACACGACCAATTTGATGTGCATCCAGTTGTACTTGCCAATTACATTGTACTAGTATTTCCCCCGAAGTGGGCAAGGGATACAGAATCGGGAAGAACATTAAAATTTGACAAAAAAGCATACTTAACTTCTGTCTTTGGATATATTCTGTCTTATGCTTTAATCTTTCAACAAAAATGCGTACTTTACTTTTGTCTTCAGATTCGTTGCATTACACGTTTATCTTTCAATAAAAAAGTAAAGCGTACCTTAATTTGGCTTTCGGATATATTCTGTTTATTTTACTTTCACTTTTCAACACCTGTAAAAATAAATATTTCTAGCATCTGCGTTTGTCGCGGCCGCGATTTTTTGGCATCTTTTGGTCTGCGAATCGCGCCGCGATTTTTGCATTCAGCGAAAAAAGCTACTTCATAACA